CGTGTGAAACATGGTTGGAGCCTGCACATGGAACCGAGAGAACCGAGAGAATGGAGTTCAGCGTTCTGAATTCATCACCATCATTACCCGTTCATCGGTACAGCCGAAAGGCTCTATTAGAGATAAATACAAGGATGCCTCGAAGGATGGTTACAAGTTACCTAAAAAACCTAGAGGTGGAAGTAAATATACCACAGGAGGTGGTTAGACCGAAAAGGCAGAAACGTGGGAGAAGGGGTGGCATAAGGACTCGTCTTCGTCTGAGCAATTTGCATTCTTTGAACAACAAAGTGGACACCTTAAAATCGTACATAAGGTACTGTAATGAATACCGCAAAGCTTCTTTATTATGTTTTACGGAAAGCTGGCTACAACCTACAATGCCTGACACTCTTTTTGAACTTCCTGGCTTCACCTTGGTATGGGCAGACAGGGATAAAGACTCGGAAAAAAGTAGAGGAGGGGGTACATGTGTGTACATAAATGACGTGTGGTGCCGTGCGCACTCAGTCAAATGTAAGATCTGTGACCACAATGTAGAAATCCTTGGCATGATTCTAAGACCCTTTTACTTACCAAGAGAATTCGGATGTGTCCTACTATTTGTCGTCTATGTCCCGCCCAGCGGCAAACCATCACAAGCGGCCAGTCTGATAGGTGACAAGGTACATGAACTGCAACTCTGCTACCCTGAAGTCCCCGTTATAGTGCTTGGAGATTTTAATCGGTGCAATTTGGAACAAGCGCTGCCAGGATTTGAACAATATGTTAAGCTAGGAACAAGAAAAGATAATATTTTGGACAAGTGCTTTGTGAATGTCAAGAATGCCTATGTATCTAAATGTAGACCACCAGTCCTGAATTCTGATCACAATGTGATGTACATGATTCCAATATACAAAACAAAGTTAAAACGGGGAAAATTGGAAAAGAAAGTAATCAGAGTATGGTCAGATGAAAGTAGAGAGAACTTAAGAGCTTGTTTTGATTGTACAAACTGGGAAATTGTCCATGATGAAACATTAGATGAAAGAACTGAAGTAATCAATGACTATATTAACTTTTGTGTGCAACTGGTAATACCCACAAAGAATATTAAAGTATATCCAAACAATAAATCTTATGTCACCAAAGATATTAAGGAAATTATAAATAGACGGAATGTAGCATTTAGAAATAAAGATCCTAAAGAACTGAAAGAGACTGAAAAAGAATTAAAAAGTAAAATGAGGAAAGCTAAAGAAGCTCACAGACAGTGCCTAGAAGAAGCCTTTAAAACCAAAAACAATAAGAAAGTTTGGGATACCATGAAAAAGATGACAGGTTTATCCTCTCCAAACAAATGTATTGTAACAGACAATGAAGTCAGCTTTGCTAATGAACTAAATACATTTTTTACAAGATTTGAACACAAAAAGCAACAATGAACCAGTTAACATTGTATCGTCTTCCTCCAAAAAGATAGTGATCGATGTTGCGGAAGTTAGGAAGACATTTCGGTCTGTTAATACTAGAAAAGCTGTTGGTCCGGATGGGTGTGCTCCGAACCTCAATTTTACTTATAATAAACACTTGCTGCTGTCAAAAGAATGAGCTCTTATTCAGCGTATAAATGTGAATAATATCACGTTAAGCATTTTCTCCCCATAGGATACCAAAAACACTCTGTCCAAAGGAATGTAAAGATTACAAACCCATAGCCCTCACTTCAGTAATTGGCAAAAGTTTAGAAAGAATACTACTTAAACACTTGTTTAATAATGTCAAAAGGAAACTTGATCAGTGTCAGTTTGCATTTAAACAAGGTAGCAGTACCGAGGATGCAGTGGCTGCCACATTGTTACTAAACATCTAGACAAATGCAACTCTTATGTTAGAGCATTATTTCTTGACTTTTCATCTGCGTTTGATACTATTCAAGTTAACACCCTTGTGTCTAAACTAATACAGTTAGACGTGAACCCATACTTAATTAAATGGTACCTCTCTTTTCTCACCAATAGAACCCAAAGGGTTAAAGTGAACAATGTCCTGTCAACAGAAGTAAAAACAAATGTTGGTGTACCTCAGGGTTGTGTAAGCTCTGCTATGTTATTTACTCTGTATACAGATGACTGTCGAGTAAACAGGAATGACCAATATATTTTAAAGTACTCCGATGATACTGTGTTAATATCGTTATTGAATAACCAAGAGTGCTTAGAACAGCATCAACAGGGGGTAAACAAATTGGTCGAATGGTGTGACAACAATGCCCTCAGTATTAATTTAAAAAAAACTGAGGAGATAGTACTAAGGCCTGTTGCTGACATTCATACAACACCTGTTGTTATACATGAAGAGAACATCAAACAAGTAGAAGCATATAGGTACCTAGGAGTATGGATAGACAAAACACTATCATGGAGAGATCATATAGATAGTATCTGTAAAAAATCAATGCAAAGAATTTACTTTCTTCGTAGATTGAGGTCATTTGGAGCAAGAAAGCAGATTCTTTTATTGTTTTTTATGTCTGTAATCATGAGTGTCTTGCAGTACTGTAATTCGGTTTGGTATATGAGTCTATCTGTTAGTCTAAAAACAAAGCTAATGAACTTACTAAAAATTTGCTCCAAAATTGTGGGTCAGCCACTTCAAAAAGCATATGAACTATCTTACCATAATAATCTTGTAAGATTAGCTACTAACATTGTTTCTGAACCTAATCTAACCTTCTGAACCTAAATTTTTTTTTTTTCTCCGCGATGGCGCCGACGCTGATGGCTGCCTCCGTGGCGTGCTCCGCAGTTGTTTTTATGTTTTTGTTAGTTTGTCCTGTCTTTAGTTATATCCCTGCAATCAGTTTCACCAGAGACGAATTGCTGGACATTCGGAAGTACACGCCACCCGATAATGCAGTAAACATGGGACTGCATTATGTTCTTCAACAGCTAGACAGACCAGGGACTTATGTGAGGATCCTGTTCGTGGACTTCAGCTCGGCCTTTAACACCATCATCCCAAACCTCCTCCTGCCCAAACTAACTCAGCTCTCCGTGCCCACCTCCGTCTGTCAGTGGATACCCAGCTTCCTGACAGACAGGCAGCAGCTAGTGAGGCTGGGAAAATTCTCATCCAGCACCCGTATAAAGTGTATCGTATCGTATCGTTCCTGCTACCCGATCTCCTCAGCACCGCGACCCCCCTCAGCACCGATGGCTCTCTGACAGCGTGTCCCTCCTTCCTCCCGGGTTTCGGCACCAATGTAACAAAGTTCGTAGTCACGGGAAGAAAGAGGCGGGAACCGGCGAACGTTCAAACAAAACTTTAATAATAAAATAAACAAAATAGCGCGACAGCCCCTCGCGGATGACTGTCGCACACAAACAGAACCAAAACACAAAATAAAATCCAGGCCTGGTCCTCTCTCGTCTTTCACTGTCGTAGCTCCTCCTTTTATCCTTCCAGAGCTCCTCCATGGGACCCGAGACCGGTGAGTGGTGCAGGTGTCGCCCATTATCAATTACTCCACCGGCCTCGCTCCGTTCCCACGGCTCTCGGCCCCGCCCCCACTCGTCACAATCGTCATCCAAGAACTTTTTTGACACTCAAGCAGGACAAAAAAAAAATCTGAGGATTAGTATATACATCTCAGATGTATGGTGGGCTCGAAAGAAAGGACAGACGGGAGGTCAGTCAGGCAGGGGTTAAAACCCAAAAAATCAGTCCAACACAGTGAAAGTACTGGAGGATGAGACGAGAGTGAAGTCAGAGATCATGAGCAGTATCATCAGAAGGTGATCACAGCCAATCAAAAGCCAGAGAAAAGCACAAGTTCAGAGTGGACAGGGCAGATCTGAATACTGGAACCCTCTACTGATCTGGGTAGAAAACCAGCATGAAATCATCACAAATAAACAACAATTACTAGAGCGATCGACAGTAGAAGCTGAGGGCACACAAAGACTCAGAGCAGAGCGAGTGCAGATACAGGTAATAATGAGAGAAACAGGTGAAAAACCAACGAGCAGCTGATTACCAGTGACATCACATCCAGTCCTGACAGATGCATTTCTGCACTTTACAAAAATATAGGTAGAGGCACATTTTTCCAATGAGCCCATGTTGCAATGATGACACACCGATTGTGCGACAGACACAATATTAATATGCAGTTTTGCATCATTTAACATGTTAAGATTTAGAATATCTTGTTTAGCTGAAAGAGGAATGTCAGATATGCCTAAGATGCCCTGAGGGTGAGTAAATCATGGGCTAATTTTCATTTTTGGGTGAACTATCCCTTTAACTTCTGAAGACGTTTCGTTCACTTAGTCCACCTTCTTGTACTGGATAGATTTTTTATTTATTTATTTTTTTCCCCACACTGAAGAAGCTGGATATATAAAAAAAATAAATCTGGAATTATTCTTCTGTTTTCTGTTTTCTTTTAGCTGCACACGACTGAAAGATGAAGCTCGCTGGATTTATGCTCCTCCTCGTCAATTCAGCGGCCTCCATCAATCTCAAATACATCTCCAAGAGGAACTCAGGTATGACTGCCATTTTACTGCACTTACAGCGTCATTTCGGACCAGGAGCATGTGTTGAAAAGTTTGATGTAAGCTTTCAGTGTTGTATTTTGTGGAGGTCAAGCCTCTCCTGCTGTTTGCTTCCATCTGGAGGAATGATGGGACTATGGATTAAATGCAGTGTTTTTATCACTGGTGAAAAAAGACACTTGGATTCAGTTTGAACTGTTTACAAAAAAGGAATGGAGTGGTTTTTGATGAGATTTCTCTGTGAAATGTTGTGTTTTTTTAGTGAAGAACCCAGGCTCTCCACACGATCACATAACTGTTTTTCTCCTGCTGCATTGTGTGTGTGTTTGTGTGTGGGTGACGTGTGCATTCAGCAATTATGTTATCAGCACCAAACGGGCATTTATGTGGGCGGTAAAAACACAGAGGCAATCTCAACTGTCAGTTTCTCACCCAGCCACAGATTTCAGAGTTTGGCATGTACGGTTTACTGTGCCACCAAATAAGCAGAAATGTTTCCTGTGTTTTAATATGCATGTGAGACGCTGGTTTATAGCAGTGTGTGTGTGTGTGTGATGCTGCTGTGTTAAACGTTAAGTAGTAGTGCTTTATTGTGCTATCATGATACCAGCATCACTGGATTGTGTGCTTTGAAACTTTGCGTTGCAGCACAGGGATGAAACTCCGATTATGATTCTGAGGTATAGCATTATGTAACCATGAGTTGCATTTGCCAAAGGAAAGCTAATGAATGCTAAAAAGAACATGTAATGACACGTGAGGGATTTAATCATCACACGTTTGTCTGATTAGGGTTAGAGTATGAGTTGTGTGAAATGTCTCCTGCTCAAATACCAGTAAACTGACTAGCACAAACCTTAGTAAAACATGTTGCGTGAATACTCTCCTCCCATAAATTTTGCATCTGAAAGGGAAACTCCTACAAATGCATATGCAATAAGGTCAGCCGCAAAAATAACTGTCCACAGCTTTTCATCACTAATTTTTCACTTTGCATCTTTAGTAAATCCTGACAGTAGTTTTCCAGTAAATTTCCTGCCATTGCCTGCGGTCATCATACATCATTTTCTTCACAAGTCAATGATTAGCTAATATATGTTAACATTTCATACATACCATATGCTACATACACATCATATTTCATTTCTTGCATTGTTTTGATTTGCCACACTTTAGGTTGTATTGTGCCAAATACACAACAAATTAAGTAAGATGTGCTGATATTTCTCAAATTTGAGAACTACATAAACTGTCTGTTCTTTTTTGGTAAATCTCTGCAGCTGTGAGACACACAGTATTATATGCGGGCAGCAAAGCTGTGGGCAGTTTTTATCATGTGTTTATCAGCCATTCTTATCTAACACATTACAATCACAACCATATCAGACTGAAAAAAAAAGTTTAAATTATATCATCTGATCTCAGATTGTCAAATATGTTTTCTAGCAGTTAGATATACACTGACAGCATTGTGATTATCCATCTCTGTGAAACTACAGACATATTGTGACTTTGTTCCACATATACAAAGTTATGTCATGGAACTCTAGATGGCACAGGCTGATAGGTTCTAACTTAATCTGATATAATCACATGATTATTCACATGGCAAGCTGATTGGTTTCTTTCGCATCAGCAGCCAATGAGCTGCTGCTCAGCATTCAAATACTTGGCTAGTGCTTGCTGTAGCTGTTGCAGCGCGCTTCAGAAACCCTCCACCTTCCCCAGCTCCACCTGCATACAGTAGATCTGCTACGGGGTGATCTCATGTATGTTATATATGGGGGTTATCTCATATATGTTATGTGTGCAGCAGCAGTGTTTCTTACATGCTCACAGCAGCATGTCTGTGGATGTATTGGCAGTAGAAAGTCTCGATACTTGCTCAGCAGCAGCAGCAGCAGCGTAGCAGATCTGTTCCGCCAAGACCAAACACATTAACATTGTCATGTACATTACCATGCTAAACTCTCTGAGAGTTGTCATGACAGAAATTTTAGTTTTGATGGCTTAATTGGTGGCAGAGGAATACTGCACATATGGGAAAAAACATGAGGCATATGTAGCCTACTAAATTTGCTTGTAAAGGAAAAGCAGGACATTATATCATAGATATCAGATATATTTGTGACTGTGCCAAGGTCTGTACAGTAAGTCTCTTTAAAATATTACATAATTTGACCTTTTTATGTCAAGGCAAAGTTCAGACTGTGAAATCTCATGTGGTGCGACAGTCAGCCTAGAAACAAGATGATCACTGTAACAATATTATTATATGATTTTTTTATGTTATTATTCTGTAACCCAAGTTAACTTTTGTGTGGACTAATTAGATGATACTAATTAGATGATTTACAAATTAATTCAGAGTATTTCTAAAAATACTTTTTATTTTGAAAACCTATTTAAACTGTTTTCCAAAACCAAATTTTTCCCCCCACACCAATAGAAAAAAAAACGAAAGATATTTTCTTTATCATGGACACTTATTAGTCATTCATGTGTTTAGATGATATGTAGATTTGAAAATTTTTTACAAATTTTGGTGGAGATAAATAATAATGTCACATACAATGTTTGTGAACATGCTGTCTGTTGAAGTCTGTTTTAACAGTTCAGAATTTGTAGTCTTGAGTATTGCATATACTAAACATTTGAATTATTAAATAAATTATAAATGCAACATTAAAGCGATAATAGATCCTAAGTCTGCTAGTCTAAACTTGCAGGACTATCATTTATCTGGTGCACAATATAGAGTGATGTATGCAGAAGAAAAGCCCTCTATGAAGAACTGGGTGCCATTCCTTGATCGATGTTAACTCTTACACCGTGTCTACACCGGACAAAATACTATAGAACCCATTATAATCAGTGATGCTGTCTACACTGGATGCGGTGCGGCGCGACATGACAAATCCCCGACAGTAAACTGCTGCGTCGTTCTATCTATGACGTACTGACTCAATTCAAATGATTTGCAACGGTCGCTTTGTCACGTCCAGTGTAGACAGACTGGCGCGGCGAGACACCTGTCGCATCCAGTGTAGACACAGTGTTAAGTTTTTCATTTATTTATTAATTTTTCCCTAAAATTTTCAAGGTAGTTATCTACATAATGAAATATTATTTAATGATATTTAGCTTTGCATTAGGGACACTGAGCAGTCAAGCAAGGCTCTTTAATTCTCAGAGTTGCCGTGAGGTCAGCAGTGCAGTGCAGGCAAGAACACATCTGGATATTACAGAGAAAGAGCTTTAATAAAAGCAAGTTATTATGGTAATTATTCTCTGTGATTGGCCTTATTCAGTGGGTCAGCCACTGGGCAGCTCTCACCTCTTTCCTTACAGAACGGATGGAAAGATGTGTGTGAGGCTCCCGGTCTGAAATTGCTCCCAGTCCAGCCCTGATTTTAATCTATGAGACAGTCAGTGCAGTAACAAGATGAACTCTCCAACAATATTGTAATATAATTTTTTTATGTTATTAATCTGCAACTGTAATGTAATTCACCTGTGTGAAGTAGTTACTTAATGTACACACACACACACACACAAGCACATATACATACACGTATGCATACATACCCACACACACACAATATATATATATAGTACTTAGTTTTTACCATTTTCTTTTTTTTACCAGAACGCCTGACTCTCTAATCATCCAACAAAATGTGTGTGCTAACCATAAAATGAATAAGGAAGGTAATTTCCACAATTTTAATTGCAAGATGAGCTATTCTAATTAGTGACGTATGATATGGTCAACAGTGAATATCAGTCACACAGTCATTATGCAAAAAAATGTGCAATTGATCAATCATAAACAAGTATTCCATATAGAGTTTACAGGTGTACAATCTTCTGTTCAAGGCTAATCATGCATCTGCAGTTTAAATGTAACCTTTAAAAGCTTTTATATAACTTTAATCAGGCAAACTGCCCTTGACAGTGAGTAAAAAACACATTTTCCCTAAGAGAAACAACATGTCTTAAAAGCTGGAAAATAACCTTCTCTTAATGTTAATGTTTTGCCTGAAGTCACCCATCAGAAAATTAATTTTCCTCTATCTACACCTTATGAGGGCCTTGGGAGTGTAATATATGTATTGTAATTTAATTATTAATGAGTATAACAAAGTGTCCCTCAAGTGTCCTAAGATTGAAGAAATACATCTGAGCTGCTTTGTGCTTCGAGAGAGTAATTTGACAAGAATAAACAGCTGAAAAAGGGATAAGCAGATTATGTGTACAGTACTGTATGTAAATGTAAAGTAAGGTATGTCTGAACAGCTAACACTAATCTAATGTGTGAATGGCCCTTCTCATGACTTCTTTCAGTGTTTCCGGTGCTTATAGGCTAATTTATAAAAAAAAATATCAAGCTATACAGTGACACATGTTAGGCCTGTCGCAATAAATCGACTTATCGCGCAATATATGTCCATGACCTCAATCATTTTTGGTGACGCAATATATCGCACATTATATTTACTTAAAAATTAACACTTGCGCCTGTGTCTTTTGCAGCTTCTCGTTCATAACATGGTGTAGTCATGAGGTGCTAGTTCAAATTTAAAAAATGCTTCTACAAACAAAGTTTAATCTGCAGATATGGTCTTGTTTAGGGATCTGTGTCTTTGTGCATACGGACATCTGACTGCTGAGTAGTGATTGTGTTTTTCAGCAATAGTGTGCACCCTTAATTTACAGAGAAAAGAAGGTCAGGAAAAAAATCTGTAGATGGAGAAATCTCCATACAAGTTATTTGTGCATTTTTCTTTTTTTCTTCTTGCTACTTTGCACTTTTTGTTAAAAAATGTTTATTTACTATTTATTCAGGTTTTTTAAGGTATCTAATATTTTGATACATAATTTCCATGATCTAAATATTCTTAAAAATTAAAAGTTTGTTGTCATTTGGAAGTGTATAGGCCTTCTTGCATTATTATGCTGTTACATTAAAAAATGGCAATAATATCGCT